TTATTTAAAAAAAGAGAACCACCGGATTTCTTCTGTATTTACATCCTTTTTAGTGTCATAACCATGGTAATATCAGATATTATACCGTGGGAAAATTTTCGGTGAACATGCAGTTCTAAAATATACCGGGTGCGTCTCAAAAGTGGCTCACCCCTATAACTTTTTTATTTTATCAGATAAAGAAACGAGATTTGGTATGTTAGTATATTACATAAATTAGGATTCATTGACGTATTCAAGTGTTTTTGGTCACTTTCTTTTCACCGGAAATGACTACAACTTTTGATTTTTAAATGGCACCCTCGGTATTTTTTTACTTTATTCGATAGAAAATGACATTCTGAATAGAATGACATAACATATGTCAACTTTTGAGATTCTCTCTTAATAAAAAATAGTATTTTAAAATTCAATAATTCAATCTAGAGTGCCATGGGTACGTTAAAAACACTAATTCTTAATCAAGGAGCCTTGGAAAAATAGATTTGATCGTTTAATGTTTTTAGTCTCTTGTCCTGGCCATTTATGGAAAAAGCATATTTGGAAAAAGCATTTTTTTACGAATAATTTGATACCACGCACTTAGTATTTCGAGTCAAATTTTCGTTACGAATCGCAAGTTATAATTTCAAATAAACCATATGCGAAAATGTCAAAAGTTGACATATGATATGTCATTCTATTCATAGTGTTATTTTCTATCGAATAAAGTAAAAAAAATACCGAGGGTACCATTTAAAAATGAAAAGTTATAGTCATTTCCGGTGAAACAGGAAGTGACCGAAAACAATTGAATACGTCAATCAATCCTAATTTATGTCACATACTAACATACCAAATTTCGTTTTTTTAACTGAAAAAATAAAAAAGTTATAGGGGTGAGCCACTTTTGAGACGCACGCGGTACAGGAAAATTTAAAAGAAAATGCACGTTTTTTTTGCAGGAAAAACCTCATTGACTTGTTCCTGAGATCGAAATATATACCACCCCTGAAAATATTGGCACTTATTTAAGACCCACCCTGTATATTCTAGTCAGATCAAGCGTTAAATCTACTGGGCGATAATAATAATCTAAGATGGCAAAAATACGGAATGTTTATATCAGTATGGCAAATTAATTTTGACAATAAACTTAATCATTTTTAAATTAATTAACGTTTGGGTTTATTTTCGATTGGTGCCCTCTAACGAACAAACGAAACACTTTTGGATAGAGTTAAATTGTGTCCAATTAAATTATCTTGATTCCAAAAATACGTAGGAGGGAATATCTATGTCCACGGAATATTGGGTACACCCTGTATACCTACCTACCTAACTATTCTACAATTAATTATAACTGCTTGGATTTAAATTATTTAATACATTTATAAAATGGTTAAAATGGTTAAAGTGGCTCACCCCTATAACTTTTTTATTTTGTCAGATAAAAAAAACGAGATTTGGTATGTTAGTATAGGACATAAATCGGGATTGACTGACGTATTCAATTATTTTCGGTTACTTCCTGTTTCACCGGAAATGTGACTACATCTTTTTATAGAAAATGACGTTCTGAAGAGGATGATATATCATTTGTCAACTTTTGACATTTTTGCTTAAAAAAATAACATTTCAAATTTCAATTTAGACAGCCATATGGCACTACTAAAAAGATTTAAATTTGAAATACTATTTTTCTTTAAGCAAAAAGGTCTTAAGTTGACATATGATATAATATTCTCTTCAGAATGCCAGTTTCTATCAAATAAAGTAAAAAAATACTGATGGTATCGTTTAAAAATCAAAAGTTGTTGTCATTTCCGGTGAAACAGGAAGTGACCGAAAATAATTGAATACGTCGATCAATCCGGATTTATGTCATATACTAATATACCACATCTCGTTTTTTTATCTGAAAAAATAAAAAAGTTACAGACGGTAAGTCACTTTTAAAAAAACACCCGGTATAGGCAATTAAAAAAAAGTTTACTAAAAATAAGAAATATAAATATGTATACTTCTTTGGGTATTTTCATGTTTATATACAAGATTTTTTACGTGTTTTTTTCTTAATTCGTCTACCCGAACATCTACATATGACTAGGATATATTATACAATAATTATCTTTAGTACAATTTAAATACATTGCTAAACATTACACTTAAATTATTGCTCTTGGTTAACCTGAAGCCGCAAAGAACATACTTGAGATACGAAAACCCGTTTGAATCAAGGTATTGCTATATCGGTCACATATACAGGGTGATCCAATGACGAGAAAACACCATAATAAAGTTTTTTTTCAATCCTCAGAAGAGTATTATTTTTGCGACGTGATTGGCATTATAAAAATGTCATTTTAACGCCTAGGCATAGAAGTAAAGCACTTTTACGCATAAAAGTACGAAAATATATTATTAAACTGACATAATAAAGTGTCAAATTCAACGAGCGTAACCATAGTTCCTTGATATATAATTACATACAAGGTATTATTTTTAAATATTTTTATATTATTTGCAAGTTTTAAATTGATAAAAAAATATTTTGACGTTATTCGGAGTAAAAATGTACTTTGTGTGCTTCGCCTGTATAATGTCAAAGGTACAGCCTGTCTACAAAAAGTATCATTTTTACTCCTAATAAGACAGTATACCGTATGATCGAAAAAAAGGCTTGGAACTTGGAAATGACGATCGTTGACATTCCCCATATAATTTTACATATAAAATGACAGCGATCTTCATTTCATAGCCATCGCTGACGCCGTTTTTTTCGATCATACGGTACTATTCCTAGCAATTAAATAACTGTATAAGCTCGAATCAATAATTGATGCTTTTTACTGAAAGTAGTTTACAGTAGGTACACATAAAATAAGTATAAGTAAAAATATTTTATGCATAGGAATCAATGGATCACCTTGTATACAATATAAATCTTTCTCAGATGTTGAAATATGATTTTAGATATACGTATACACATAGCTGAGCTCTAGGTAGTTTCTTTGTTACTTCATATTAAACCAATCATTTCCCAATGTATTTCCCCCTACTAATTTCACCACACGACGTAATGTAGCGTTCCAATAAACATAGAATTTACAAAAAGGCACTCACATATGTTTATAGATTTGTATTAACTAAAATTTGCACTGTACAGAGCTGCTCAGATTGAATGCTCACTAGTTTCAGTCAAATAGTTTTGAATTTTTGATAATTTTAAGAACGGTGAAATTACGATTTTCTATATTTTTTACCGATTAAAAAAATATATTTATAAAGGTCTGAAACAAGTGAAACTGTACTTGTCGTATGTAGAATTTTATATTCTTTTCCCAATCTATAGACTTTAGGGGGGGGGGGGCCCTGGCCCCATGTGCCCCCCCTCTGTATCCGCCACTGCTTGCAATCGAACATTGTTCTTTTTTGAACTTCTTTTAGCGAGAAGTGATACAAAATAGCTTAATAGGGATAAAAAACTCAGTAATGGCTGTCCGTTAAGCGCTGTTAAGAAGGTGAGTTTTGTTTTGTAAATAATAACTGTTTATACAGTGGTGGCCAAAAGTATGGAAACTTTTTACTTTTTAAAATATCACATAAAATATTGCTATGCTTAAACTCTCAGGAATATAAATGAACAGCTTATCAGCAAATAAAAGTATTCCAAAAATTACACAGCGAAAAAAATCTGTTTAGCAGTTTTTGTAGGAGAACAATAGATTTCTTGTAGCCAAAAGTATGGAAACCATAAATAAATACATTAAAATTATTTAGTTTAAGCTGATAAACGGTACGATTTGCTTCAGATAAATATAAATATCATGCCCAAGTCTAAATATTTCTCTACGGATTTAAAAAATAAAATAGTTGAATTATACAAGAGCGGTTATAAACAAATTCAAATAAGTAAAAATTTAAACATTTTAAAAGGCACCGTTTCGAAAATAATTCGTAAATTTAATAAAACAGGGAACCTTTCAACAGCTTTTAAGTCAGGAAGACCAAGAAAGTTGTGCAACAGGACAATGAAAGTAATGAAGAGAATATCAATGGGAGATCCAAGAAAAACATCAACAGACATTTCTCGAGAAATGGGTGAAAGGGGAATATCGGTGTCTGCACGCACGGTGAGAAGAAGGTTGGATGACATGGGAGTTTTTGGAAGAGTTGCGGTGAAGAAACCACTAATATCAAAGAAAAATAGGATGGCCCGCTTTAAATTTGCTCAAGATCATCTCACCTGGTCTTATCAGAAATGGAATACTGTACTGTTTAGCGACGAAAGCAAGTTTCAACTATTTGGTAGTGACGGGAGACGTTATGTCCGAAGACCAAAAGGTACACGGTACAGCCATAAGTACCAGATGCCCACAGTAAAACATGGGGGTGGGAGTATAATAGTATGGGGGTGTTTTTCTCGCTCAGGTGTTGGTCCTCTTTTTAAAATTGATGGGATAATGGACCGTTTTTTGTACAAAGACATATTGGAGAATAATATGCTGCCTCAAGCTGATGAAGAAATGCCACTCAGATGGTTATTCCAGCAAGACAATGATCCCAAGCACAAATCTCGGTTTGTTCAAAATTGGTTAAATGAACATAATGCTCCACTAATGGATTGGCCTTCACAGTCTCCGGATCTTAACCCCATAGAAAATTTATGGGACCATTTGGATAGCAAAATTCTATTTCAAATAAAAATTAATTATGGGAAGTGCTAAAACCGAATGGGCCTCCATTTCTAGTAAAGATTGTACGAGATTGATCGATTCGATGCCACGAAGATGTAGAGAAGTAATTAATTCAAAGGGATATTCCACTAAATATTAGTAATTTTTATATTATCTTGAATTTTAATAAACATTCTTCTTAAGTTTCCATACTTTTGACCAAGAAAATATTCATAATTTTTTATATATTTTTTGATAGCTGTAATTTTTTATTTAAATGTATTAGGTTTTGTAGGAAATTATTTGTAGGTCACGATTATATAAGTCGTTTTATTTCATATTTTAATTTCTTAGCATAAATGACAAATTAAAAAAGTTTCCATACTTTTGGCCACCACTGTATATTTATAGTTAATTTATTTTTGTTTCTTAAAATATTTTGATTCAAAGAAAATATGCAAAAGTAGGCAACGCTGTGACGGACAGGCTTAATCACGTGACTAAAAGTATATTTGATATGAACTATAGTGTAATTTATTGAAGCGGACATCCTGTATAGAGATTATACAGGTCAGAATTTTGTTAAATGTATATAAAAATTATTTTTTATCACTCAGAAAATGAGAATACGAGAAAAATAAATTAAGAATAAATCTCAGCAGCTCAGAATTGCAATGAATCAAAAAAACAAGGTTTTTGACTTCATTCTACTATGCCAGAATAATATTCTACTATAACTCAGATCTTCTAGGAATATCACCACTGAGCAATTTGTATCCTTGTAGATTTTTTTGGGTACAAATCGATATTCCCAAAAGTTTTTGTCAGTGTAGTAAACTCTCTACGAAGGTACATAGGCATACTCATTTATCATATGATCGATAAAGAAAACGGCGTCACAGTAACCTTTTACATACGACAATCGATGATAATTTTTGCTATTTCGATCCCAACATGTCACTTATTAAAAACTAAGTCAGTTTGTATGTCAGTTATAATCAAAAGCCACTGTAACGATTTTTTTTCGATCATACCGGTACCTAAACGCCACAAATGTATAGTCTATAATTCCATTGACAAGATTGAGCGTTTTTAATAATAATTAAACTAGAAAAATCAGACATTTCTTCTATTATTCGGTCTTCAGCGCCTTGGCAGTCTCCATTTTCTTCGGCTTGATGAAAGCCTGGTAGTAGAAGTTCGAGAATAGAGCGAAAAATATGGTCGAGTGTACCAGCAAGATGGTACCCATGATCTGTGGGTACCCGCAGTCAGTATAGAGCAGCTGTGCTGAATGTATGAACACCATTACGAACTGAATCTGTAATAGAAACAAATCGTAACTACTACATACTATTTTTGTACTAAATACCTATATAAAAAAATAAAAATATCGATATCGATATTTTTTAAATATCGATATTTTGAGTATCGATATTTTTGCCCATCCTTAATATGAGGGAAAAGTGGAAATTGTGAAATAACCGGTACCCAAACAGATTGCTGCGTGCGTGTGTTCGATTTTCGAGTGCCTTTTAACGAAGACAAGTATAATTCGTGAGCAAATAATTATGATAATAACACGGTACGACTTATAATGTTAGATTTCGTACCCGATATGTGGCTTTCAGCTAAACAGTGATAATTATTCGAATCGTAAATTGCATTGGGAGTGGATTTGCCAAGACCTTATAATCTCATTTGGGCCGGTTTTAGAGATTTAAACAGCGTCGAGAAAAATTATCGATTATTTGTTGTGAAAATATCGAAGAGTAATTTGTGCTGCCATCTATTGGGAAACTACCCTAAGCTTGTGAAAAGGATAAGACCATAGATATTAGGGTGTCCGGTAACCCTCAATATTTACAATAAACCTTGCCCCAAAGACGATTCATTTTCCCATTTAAGTTACATAGGAATTTGCCACTTTTTGCAAATAATTTTTTTCTCTCGATCTTGTTCTCTCGCAGCCATGACAATCACATATTCTTATACAGAATTGAACGCTCTACAAAAAAGGTCTCCCACAATTTTTCGATAAACCTACTCCTTTAAAAGTTATTCATACCATTTATACTTAAATTGATGATTTATTTTAATAATGTTTATTAAAATAAATCAGCTAAAATGATTTAAACTTCATTAGACTTGAAGATTTCTTAATTCCCAGCCTTATTCTTACCATGAGAATTGTATATTTTTACAGTAATAGATTAAATTTTTCAAAAATAATCATAATTTTGTCAAAAAAGTTGAAGAATTTAGGAATTTACCGAGTGGTTAACTTTAATCGTGAATAACTTTTGAAGGAGTAAGTTTATCGAAAAATTGTAAGAGACCTTTTTTGTAGAGCGTTTAATTCTGTATAAGAATATGTAATTGCCATGGCTGCGAGAGAACAAAATCGAGAGAGAAAAAAATGATTTGCAAAAAGTGGCAAATTCCTATGTAATTTAAATGGGAAAATGAATCGTTTTTGGGGCAAGGTTTATTATAAGGTGGTTGCTCAAATAGTTTAACTATATATAAAAATAGTCTCTTTATTAATTGTTTGTTTTATACTTAGCCAACAGTTATCTCTTCTTATGGAAATTCTATAAGATTTTCTTTCTTGAATATACTTACCAGCTGAATGTGAGTTAGGTGTTTCTTCCACCACAAATATTTGTGGTACTGTGGACCCATTGCTGCAACCATGTAGTAAAAGTACAGAATAACATGAACAAAGTTGTTGATCAAGTTTGAAAAAGTTCCATGTCCACCTAGAAAGAAAAAACAATGTTAATAAAAAAATTAAAGTCTTTTTTAAAATAAACTGAAAAAGACCAAAAATAATACGCCTCGTATACCGGGTGTTGCATCGTCGAGCGGGACATAGGAAATCCCATGTAAATTTTAATGGGGTCAATTATTGGCTTCCCTAATTATTTTAGAGAATAATTCTATTTAGGTTTATTGAAGAGCACTAAAACCCACATTCAAAAGAATAACTTTAGATATTTTTGATTAGCCCGTTTACGAGTTATCGCCGATTTCTTTTTAAATATTTCTCCTTTCTTATGGCCCTGTATTTACTTATGAGCACCAGTCAAGGTAAAAGATAACTGTCAAATGAAGTTGTCATTTCAGAAATTTATCTATTTAGTGCTTTATTATTATTATTAAAAACTCATACCTACATCGAAAATATTAGCCATGAATTACACTACCGAAGAAAAAGTATTGATGATTAAATGGTATTATCAAGGAAATAGTTATCAAAAGGTGTCGGACATGTTTGCTGCTCTGTATCCGAATAGACCGATACCTGGAAAATCTACAATCGCAAGGAATATCCAGAGATTTGAGACCAAAGGTACCCTAATAAATAACTGCAGATGTGAAGCAAGGCAGGAACAAAGAGAAGATGCAAGAAATGATACCGACTTGGAAGTTTTATTGTGCGTGGAAGAGAACGATGGAAAGATCAGCACAAGGAAACTTGAGGATGAAATAGGAATAGATCACACTACAGTGTTTTCGGAATATAATAAGTTATTGAATATTGTAATAATACTATAATTAACCTTTAATTGATTACTTTATTTTACTTTAATTCATATTAATTTGTATTTATAATAAAACTAAATCTTTAAGATTTCCGATGTAGGAATGAGTTTTCAATAATAATAAAGCACTAAATAGGTAAATTTCTGAAATGACAACTTCATTTGACAGTTATCTTTTACCTTGACTGGTGCTCATAAGTAAATACACGGCCATAAGAAAGGAGAGATATTTAAAAAGAAATCGGCGATAACTCGTAAACGAGCTAATCAAAAATATCTAACATTTACATGGGATTTCCTATGTCCCGTCCGACGATGCAACACCCGGTATGAGTACCAAATTAAAAGGCAATTAGCAATAATTCCAATTAGTATTAAAATACATTTTAGGAGCTTTGTATTGCAATACGTGTTTTACACATAGAAAATATTGTTAAGCAAAAATGATTTTCACAATTGCATTGTGGGTAAAACAGAGCAGAAAGTATACTAATTAAATGTTGCATCCATTTTTTTTGTCGAAATACCAAAAAAGACTTTAAAATGTATCGTTTATATTGATGATCCTCTGGTAAAAAAACGTCGATGGAGTTGTTGTATTAGGGTTAGTCCTATACAGGCTGTCCCAGAAATAAGTGCAAGCATTTTAACTGGTAGTACAGTTCAAACCCAGAGAATTTTTTTTTGAAAATTCGAAATTTTTTTAAATTTTTTTTTTGGAAATTCTTATAGTTTTTAATTAAAAAACATATTTTCTTGATAATATGGCAACATAGGTATTAGATTAAATTTACAAGAAAGAAAATCCAGAAAAGATCCAGTCTTTCTCAAAATTTTAGCAAAAAATCATATTTTTTGGAAATTTTCAAAGTAAAATAACTCCGTTATTTTGGACTTACTTGAAAAACGATAAAGAGAAAATATGTTTCTTTTATCGAGATTTACCACCCCTTAAAATGCTTCCACTTATTTCTGAGACACCCTGTATAAGTATTATTCAAAAGACAACCCTCGTAGACGACTCTTTGGCTGGCATTCCATTTTGATCTAGCTTTCTCTTACAATAAATCTCAGCAAGATATACAAAAATCTCGCCGGAATGTTATAAATAATTCGACAGGTACATATGGAAAAATGAAAATATTACGCCAAAAAAACAAGTGATAAGTGATGAAACTGGAGCAATCGCGTTACTCAAGGCGCTGTTGCCGACTGTACGCGGCGGCGTCGGGTATCAAATCTGCTCGCTACATATTTGCGTTTTGCAATATCCCAAGACAGAATCTAGTAACTATAGCAAATGGGATTGCACCATTTATTAGAAAGTAACTAGGTGTACACCAAATGATTAAATTTGCGAATTATCTGTAACAAGACTACTTGGCTTTGGCTACAGACAGTTTTAAATTGTGCGGAGCAATCAACAATGATTGAAATACTAGAATCGGGTTGTAACTCATCACACAGTCTCAGGATTTTAACAAAAGCCTGGATCTGAGATGGTTTTACAGAGGTTAGTCCTCCATCTCCGATCAGTCGTTTATAGCACGAGGTTGCCATCTCGGCGCACTCAGTCATGAGGTGTTCTAATGTCCCTAATTCCATTATAATCTATTTTAGACAAAAAGTTTTCGGATAAAAGTTGTAGATAGTAACATCCCTAAATCCCTGATGAGTTTGTGTTCTCCGATTTTTTCCAAAGCCTGTTATTTTTGACATATGACACAAACATATGTTTTTTTTTAAATAGAAACCATAGTTGGCCATGACTTCATAAAAAGCGCCATTTTTTAAGGTTTTCAGCGATATAGTCTATAAAATGAATAACTTTGAATTTTGACCGTTATTTTTTACCAACATGGCAAATATAAAATCCCTCTATCCAAAAAGTTACTGATATTCTTTAAAATGAGTGCTGGAACGAATCAGATAGGTAACTTTTTACCTTTTTTTTACTTTCGTGAAATAGAAAAGGAAAATAACAAGACAAGTGACAGTTCTTCCTCTTCTTGCAAAAATCAATGCGAAACTTATGCGAAATGCCATAATTGACAAAAGTAAAATGTCATCAGCCTTTCACATTTCTAAATATCAGACCAATGCCGTCTCTAATAGAACAGCCTCGGAGCGAGATTTATGACGTCACGCTAGTTAGATACCTCGGATTAATAAATATGTTGTAGAATACATGGAAAACATAATTATTCCTCGTATTTTTTGGTTTGTACTTTTAAAACTGATATAGTTTACATGAAATATACATAATATACAGTTAATAAATACAATATATATACCTATTTATAGTAATAAATACTTTGGCAAATAAACTATGAACCATACAAATGCAGCAAATATTTTACAATATACCTACAAATAATGAATAGGTAGATAAGATAATGGGTAAAATGTAAAAAATATTTTAGATTTTGGGGTTTGAAAATCGATCTAATTTAATAAAAAACATTCAATATCTACTAATTGTGATGTATTATTATTTGCATTCACAAAATTTATATGTATATTTTGCAAGCATTAATGTTCGAAAAATTATATTTGCAAATAATACAATATCATAGAAAAAAGGCGTCAGCGATGGCTATGAAATAAAGATCGCTGTCATTTTATATGTAAAATTATTCTAAAATTTTTGATTTTCTTGGGATTTAGGTTCGGGAAAAGCACTGATTAAATTTTCATTTGGTTTTTCATTATTTTTTTTTGGTTTAAAAAAAACGTTATAGCCTAAAATATATAAAATAAATAAAAAAATAAACGTTTATAGCCTTCATCAGTGTTGTGTCATATGAAAAAAATAGTGTCGAATATAATCCAAAAAATTACATATACGAGGAATAATAATTATGTTTTCCATGTATTCTACAACATAATTAATCCGTAGTATCTAACTAGGGTGACGTCATACATCTCGCTCAGAGGCTGTTCTATTAGAGACGGCATTGCATCAGCATGGCCGCCAAGTTGCTAACCTAATAAAATTTACACTAGAAAAGCCCGCGGGAACTGTCAAATTCAAAGTTATTCGTTTCACAGACTATATAAGCTATAATATGTTTTATTTTTTCAAAAAATTACTGAGTTATAGCCAATTCTTATCTTTCTTGACTAATTTCACTTAGTTGGCATGGTGTTGTTATTTTATTATGATTTATAACTTATAAAAAGACTAAATATATTATTAAATGGCTCTTTACAATTTACATTACACAAACTAAAACTTAAAAAAAGTAATATCACTACATACATTTTAAGTTATTTTACAAAAAAAGTTCAAAAAATCCGTCATTGTTTTGAGTACATAAATGCATCTTTTTAAAACTGAATTTATTCTCACAGAATGACCGGTGGACTTAATTAAACTTCTCCTGTACCGCCACTTCGAGTGCCTCTCTTAATTCATAAGTTCATTTATAAACCTCCCTTGTTGTTAACCACACCGCATAAAAAAATCTAAAATGGATAGGTCAGGTGATCGAGTGATCGTAGGAGGCCCATGCAATTGGTTCACTTCTTTCTATCCCTGAATCTACATAATTATAATATAAATAATTTTTTAACTTAAGTGTGTCATAATGAAATTCATGTTGGAACCACTCTATTAATGCGCGAGTATCTAAATTTAACTTTTCTAACATGTCTTCGAAAACGTAAACGTAACGTTCACCGGTCAACGTATCCTCGAAAATGTCTGGCCAAGAAAAGTTTAACCAATATCCTTCACGCTTTTCTTCATGTGAAATTCATATTCACAATTTTTGTTTATTTTAATTTACAAAGTTTGGATGTGACAGTTTCACCTTTCTGAAAGCGCGACGATTGAACTTGTTCCCATAGCTAACTAAGTGAAATTAGTCAAGAAAGATAAGAATTGGCTATAACTCAGTAATTTTGTGAAAAAAAATATATTATCGCTTATACCGCTAAAAAGCTTAAAAATGGCGCTTTTTATGAAGTCATGGCCAACCTTAGACAAGGAAAGAGAGGGGACAGGTAACACGGCAGCTGAAAGTGAGGCAAGTTGTCACCACGCGAAATTCTCCAATGGCGTAGCATCAGAAATTAGCTTGTACCTAGACGGTATAAAATATTTATTAAAACGTAAACTAATATATCGTTCATTTTTGAGTAATGCATATACAATTTTGTATTTTATAGTCTCATCTTTATAATATTAGAATATCTCAGTCGATAATGCAAAATTTTTTAACAGTCACAGTGGACTGATTATCAAGACAATTATTTATTTATTAACGAGTGTATAATGTATAATTAAATAAAAAATAATGTAATAACATATATTTTAAACGTGTACATATATATATATATATATATATATATATATATATATATATATATATATATATATATATATATATATATATATATATATATATATATATATATATATATATATATATTTTGTTTCGTTTCTTTGACCTGTATACTATATATTTTTTTGTTTTCACTCTTGGCTTTAGGTCGTTGGGGTTGCAAAGATGTTTCTAGATTTTGGTTGTCACGACGTTTCGACAGTATATGTCTTTTTCAAGCCTCTTGAACGTAGATTCTTACAGAGTTAAAATTTGTTAAACTGGACAACACAATAACACATATTAACTATTGTTTTTAATTGTTTTTGGACATTACACTTTACTACGAGCACGTACGTATTTCCTTGCAGATCGCTCTGTATAAAACACATTTATCGGTTCAATACCCGATGTCTACTCTAGAAGTAGTAACTCTAGAAGTAGATATTAATATTTGTAGATTTAATATTTGTTACCTTCAATAAGAATATCCGAATTTATCCACAAAAAAATAAAACAATTCTAGAAGCTTTGTGTTATTTTATTTATTTTTAAATTTTTATTAATTACTCACTGAAACTGTTATTATACACTTAAATTAGCAAATTTTTTAAAAGAATATATAAAAAAATATATGTATGTAGTAACAAGTAGCCCACCACAAGTTTGTCCATCCCCAACAAATCTTGGCAGGTAAATTTAAGTTTTATATAACAACTATACATGTAGATTTTTATCATTAGAATTTTTCATTTTTTTATAGTTTACAATTATTTTACATATTTGATAACAATACCAAAACAATACTTTATACATTTTTTTATATGTAAAATATATAACAAAATGTTTATTGCGGAAATTGTATTTCTCTGATTATAATTCCCTACGCCACTGGTGAAATCCGGTCTGAGTAGCAATATTTATAGTTTCAAACACTAATTGTAATACAGGATATTGAAAATACTACTTGGAATTATTAAAAATAGTTTGGTTTGGATGTGGTACAAGACATATTAAAAGCATTTTACATATTTTTACTGCTATAATGAAAAAAATGTACATTTTATGACCACATCACAAAAGTTGTGTATCGATTTTTACCTGTGAAATGTAATTCCAGGCACTTTTTTCTCGCTTCGGCCTTTGCAGCCATACGCTGAACATCTCACCGTACTAAACAACACAGTTTATAAATTTAAAACAAAACAGTTGTCACAAAAAAACATAAAAATTCGCTCGGTGTCACCTCGAAATCTTGTCACCAAAGTATGGCCGCCGATCGAATTTTGGCCTCACTAACCGATCACGGGAGAATTGCGTGTTACCCGTTCCCTCTCTTTCCTTGTCCAAGTGGCCAACTATGGTTTCCATTTAAAAAAACATATGTTTGTGTCATATATCAAAAATGACAGGCTTTAGAAAAAATCGGACGACACAAACGACACAAACTCATTAGGGATGCGATTATCTACAACTGTTATCTGAAAACTTTTTGTCTAAAATAGATTATAATGGAATTAGTAAGCCATGAACTTTTTCAAAAATCTGAAAGGCGCATATTTATGACCCCACAAAACTGCAATTCTTTCCCCATTTAACCGACTCTCTATCTCCAGTAGTTTCCGAAATACCCATAGAGAACATCGTAGGAAACTCACCCTGTATGTTGTATTGAAGTATTCATCTTTATACCACCTTGTTTATTGCAATATAAACACAAGAATACTACTATAAATTAGATTTGAGCAACTGAAATGTATTCTTGCGCAAAAAAACGACGACGAGTAGCAGCGATTCTACGACAAACAAAGCTCATATTAAAACGTAATTTTGAAAATTTATGATGCATCAAGGTCACGGGACGATTTGAAGCCGAGATGGGCATTAAGGTCGCATTTGGCAACGCGGCAATTATTATTAAGAGTTTCGTCATGAAGGCGCACCTTTATTATTAAAATCTTATTGGACACAAACTATTTTATACATTTTTATTATTTTTTGGTAATTAATTTTAATTATTTTATATTATTATTTTGCATTTTTTTTTGTTTTTTCTTGGTATTATTCTTACCGGCAATGAACCTAACCAAGAACCAGGTCTCTATGGGCGTGAGACTGTGATGGTACACGTGTAAAAAGCTGACTTGACTGTCTTTCTTTCTGAGGACGAAGAATACAGTGTCGGCAAATTCAGTAAGTTTGGATAGGTAGTAGATGTAGCATAGTCTGGCCATCTGAAAATAAAAATCATAAATTTAGAGAGAATAATACAGAATATGTTGTTGAAGGACCACCCTGTATTTTTTAACAGTTAGCTTTAACATTTAACTTACCCTGATAGCTTTCTCGTTATTGGTATAGTCGACAGGTTGACATTTAAAACTGTAGTCCCAAAACCATCCACTAGCTAAGTGCTAAAACAAAAAAGCAATTTTTAAGTAATTTGTTGCTAAATTATTTGACTTTTTAGTCTCTTTTTAAATTGAAAATTAAAAGTCCCCATCTGTCTATTATACGAGGGAAAACAAAGTGTTGTTATTTTGGTGGAAGTTTGAAACACCCTGTGGAACGGTTTACTAAAGGAAAGAATTTAAAAACTACTTTATCCCTAAGGTGCATGTTTTGTCGATAGTTTTTTGATTTATCTCATTAGCTTTTTTCTGTTGGAGAGATTCGCTAAAAACATGCCATTGTTTTGAAAAATGACAATTGGGAGTTGGAACCTTTGGTGTTACACAGCAAAATAACAACACTAAATCATCACAATACACCAAAACACCTTTACTTTTACACTGGACGCGCGTTTCGCTAACCATGTTAACATCATCAGCAGATGATCAAGACTTGAAAAATTGCTTAAAATTGCATATTGTTATTGTTTATAATAACTACATTTACATATTGAAAAAAAGTCAAAGTAGGTTATTACAAGATATAACAACAGTGTGTAGGTTGTAAATACTCACTGATTACGTTTAAGATTCATCAATGAGTATTTGTTTTTAGTACATGGTCTAATATTAGAAAAACAATTTTAAATGAAATGCATATAATGTATTTACTATATTCAATACGGCTGTATTAATAAATAAATTAATAAATAAATGCCTTTATTGTCAAAAAAAAGGTAAAGTAAACAAACAAAAGAGAATACAAGTACACAAATTACATTGTCAGTCTTATTGTTCAAAATAAACATTTATAAATGTTTACAATGTCAAAGAAAAAAAAAATAAAAATAATATTCAAAAATATTTAGTAAGTTTATAGGAAAGATAGTAATAGTAAATATTAGACCAGTGTTTACAAGATCAAATTCGATTATTAAAATATAAGTCATTTACGGCGTAGAATAAGATTTCAATGCTTTGCGAAATGAAGAAAATGATGTTATGGATTTGATTTCAAATGGCAGGTGATTGTGCATTTTTTTCGAGTTGTATAATATTGAACTTTTAACTAACTCCGAGCGTGGGGTAGGTAGATAGAGATCTTGCTCCGCATTCCTGAGTGGATAAGTGTGAGATGGCCTTTCTTGAGAAGCTGATACATGCTTACGTATTAGGCAAACGGATTCAAATATAAATAAGGAAGGAAGAGTTAATATTTTTATTTTTTTTAAAAAGTCCTGGCAATGAGTTCTGCTGTTTAGTCCCAGTGACTATCGAACAGCTCTCTTCTGGAGCTTGAAAATGCAGTCAAATTGAGGGAAAATGCGGTCAGAATGGAAGGGCATATCTAAGGTCCGACTCAAAAAGTGCATAATAAACAGTTCTAGCCACTGACATTTTAAGCTCCTTAGAAACAGATCTTAATGCAAAACAGGCAGAGCTTAATTTTTTCGACAAAGCATCGATATGCATATATATAAACAACATGAACTGATCTAAACAATATGAACTGATCTCAGACACACCTAAAACTCATATTTGACAAATAATGATGACGTAACGGTGAAAGATAGCTGAACAGTCTATTTTATTTTTATATTGAGTAAAACTGATTCTCAAATGGTGTATTTTGTTAATTTCTATAAAAATTAGTGTTAATTTTTATATAAATTTTTAGTAAATGATGTCTAAAGATTGACCTCGCTAAAATTATCATTGATTGTTATTCCCTAGCCGTCTTTGACGTCGTTTTTTTCGATCATACGGTATAAGATGACGCTTTTACCCAATTTTTTTTCAAAATATTGGACTCTGATCTCTTTTCCTAGAAATCTAAGATCTGACCACGTACTACCATTCAGACAACAGGTACCGTTCATTCAAATTTTACCACCGTGGCCTGGCTTTCAGGAAAACGATCATTACTGTCGTTATATAAGAAGCTGTTTCGCGCTTTCTCTCCCAAGGACGCGCGTTTCTTTTCAAGGCCACTGTCTACGTCATTATACGAGCATACGGCGGCACGAACTTCTTATGTAAACACTTCGGCCGAGTTAAGTATGCCCATCAGCTACGTGTAGCAGGTGAAATTGACCGTTGGTAGAGGTCAGTGGGACGATGACTTTCACTGTCAAGGTCGCGAGAGCTTTAGAAAGATTGAAATTTGAATAGGGAGAGTCAATTTTCGGATTTTTTGGATTATTTTCCTTTAGGAAGAGAGTCTATAGTTATTTTTTTCCCTTAGCGAGTTACGTTTTAAAAAATATTCGGAAATTATTATTTCAAGGAATTTACTACGAGTAGAAAAAATATTGTGCTGGGTTGGTGTTGGTTTCTATGTAATCTGACAAATAAATAAAGCTGTCTCTTTAGTTGTCAGTTTTGAGTCAATATTTTTTAATTCTCTTTCGTGTCGATTGCTGATTGAATTAGAGCCAGAAATGGCTCAAAACGAAATAAGTAAATTATCAACAGATATTTTTCGAAGGGCAGTGCAAAGATGTATAAATGAGTGTATTTGTATTGTTATATTATAGTCGTTTAATTATAACTTCGCGATTGTTTGCGTTTTCTTTTTATTTAACATTTATTTATTTTCTTGTAAATTTCTTGTATCATTTTTTTTTCTTTCTGGGGTTAAATGGAAGAGCAGAACATAATAATTTATGTTCTGAACGATGCCAATTATAGCAAAAAAAATCTTAACGGACCGCAAACGAACTACGTCAACTCGCCCGTTTGACGAAACAGGAGCCATTACCAAATAAAAGCTGTTAATTCTTGTTAGTTTATTATGTTCTATTTTGGTTACCCGTTTGTTACTTTTATTTTTTATGGTATTTATTTTATTTTTTTATTATGAAAGATTAGTTGGAAAAGTTTGGACTCAGGGTGTACGGGGAGGTCATGCTAGAGTGTACTATTTGCGCTGTTTGATACTACTTTTTGTTCGCGGAGCAATTTCGTGCATGAAAAGTAGTACCAAATAGCGCAAATAGCGTGCTCCACGAACTCACCATTAGTTTCAACTACCGTTAGTTTTTTTATAATACCATTATACTAATATAATTTTGTGTATAATACCAATTACCAATATATGGTTTGTTGCCTCGACTTTATTTTATTTCATTCTCAACTATAAAACACTGGCTATGATAGAAAAAAAATGAACACTGGTCAATATTAATGCTGGGTTTATACAACATTTGCATAAGTCCTAATCATAATCACAGTCTTAATCATCGTCATAATCACAACGCAATTGTAATGTGCGTTTATAGAACATTTTCATAATCATGATTTTTATATCAGTGAAATTGGGTAACATAATTAAAGGCTAAGTTCTTCCCCTAGGAGATGCAAGACCTTGTCGTTGGTGGGGAAACTCCTGGTCAGGTGCTGGGGGGAATCCCCTCTAGCACTTGGCTTGGTCTAAGAAGCATCTCACTCATCGTCTTGTCCCTGACTGTAGTGTCGTGGCCAGGGAATTGCACCAAGACATATAACGATACCGGACGGGGCTACGGACAGCCTCAACCTTGGGGCACCGGGGGCCACCCCATTGTATTTACCCCTTACTTCTACATGCGGGGCTCTGTAGAAGTGGACCGACTGTCCCTAGCGACTCATAGGAACACTATGAGATCTGGTAATAATAGTAATAAAAACATCACCGGTGAAGCTGTGGGGAAACCCCCTAGCGACACTGGGAACAGTAACAATGAAAGTTCCAAGGGGCCAAACCCAAAGAGAACTACAGGAGAGGTGGCTGACACTTGCGTGAGACCATCCTCCGCAAGTGGCATACAAGCTACCACCTCCTCCAAGGGTCGGGAGCCTACCTCCTACCTCTAAACCCAACAGGCGACACAAGCTACCGTTTCGTCTACCCGGCCTGGGTCGTAGCTCCTCGACTGTGAGGGACACGGGTCTCCGTAGGAAGTCCTGGGACTGTATGATGAGTTATAACTCAAGAAAGGGGGACACAATAGATCTCTAAGGTCGCAGAGATTAACCCCCCTCCCACTTATTCTAATTCTAATTCTAAAGGCTAAGTTCATCATAGATGTCAACAGGTTTATAAGAAGTCGATAGTTTAACTTTTATGATTATGACTATGATTGTGATTACGACTATGTAAATGTTGTATAAACCCGGCATAACTTACGCAAAGACCTAATTATCACTTAAAAAAATGTATCATTTCTAACTTTCAACAAATCTTGAATTCAACAAATCTTGCAAGACTCTTGAAATTTCTTGCATATTAAAGTCTTGTCGTGTCTTGAAATTCAAGATAAGAAATTTTCAAAGTCTTGTCTTGAATTTCTTGCAAGAGTTTTGGTCTTGCAAGACTTTTTCAAGACTCTTGTGCAACACTAATTTTAACAGTTGCTATGGAAAAAAATAAAATCCGATGGTTCTCTCATTGCTTTGTCACATTTTGTTCAAAATTAGCTTGGAGAGACAAATAATAGAACTCAACTAAAATATTATTTCTATGCCTACCATGACGTCTTTTTTATTTGGTCGTACGCTATTTAATTAATAACCAACTTGATAATTACCTCGTACATCATGTACAAGCTCATCAAAACTTGGGCACCGTTATACACTATAAGGATATTTTTCAGCTTGAACGGTTTTCTGTTGGCCATCATCCTGGGTCCCATCCATAGGATGACGTAGAGATATGTCAGTACCATGAGTAATGTGGGTATGGGGCTCTCTATCAGCGGCCATTTTGACGTTCTAGGGTCTAAAAATGTAGATTATTGATATGTTTTCACAATAAATCAAAATAAAATAAACAAAAAAAACAATTTCAAACGTTTCAAATAATATAGAAAAAATTAAATGTAATACCTTGTATGTAATTATATATCGAAAAACTATGGTTACGCTCGTTGAATTTGACACTTATGTCAGTTTAATAATAGGTATATTTTTGTACTTTTGTGCTTAGGTGGTAAAAGTGCTTTACTTATATGCCTAGGCGTTAAAATGGCTTTTTTATATTGTCAATCACGTCGCAAAAATTAATACTTTTGTGACGTTTGAAAAAAAAACACTTTTTTTATCCTAATTTTGCTACATACCCCCCATTTTCTCCAAAGTGTTTTGATATACATCTCCGTATCTTTCTGCTAAGACTCTGGCCAAAAATGGAATGTCCTAAAATAGAAAAACAAATTAATAAGAAATCATACAACACTAAAGGTCTAAGAAGACGTAACTACTAAAAACTACAGTGTTCTTACAGTGTACTTCTACAGTTCTATTTAGATATTTTAAATAGTTTTTTCTTTGTTCTTTTTGTATTTTTTTGCTTTTGACGATGGGAGAAGATATACCTCCTGAAACTTTAAGCATTTTTTTCGGATATGAATTCTTCAAGTTATTATGACAATATCTTCAATAATATTTTCCAAAGAAATATACCGAAAAACCTCCATCCATTTTTTAATCTATTTTACTATCATTTACTTCCACTCGTTATTGACATTGACTGACATCGCGTCTGATTACTGAACTGTCCGTCATAAGGACAGACGTCTGATCACTTTACGTGACTGACATGTGTGTATAGACCTTAAGAGTCCATTTCACTAGTCCAAAAAAGTAGGAAATTAAGCGTTCGGCATTTAACGTTTTATGTAAAACTGGCTAGCTATTTTTACACAAATTAAGAAGGAAATTAAAGATAAAGGATTATACTATATCCATATTGTAGTACATTTTTAGAAAACTTCTTTATTTTTAAGATTTTGATGGTCAAACATCAACAAAGTATTCCTTATGTTTGGACTAAATTTTCTCGAAAATAAAGATATAATTTAAAATTCCGTTACAATACGGAAATAGATTGAAGTTTTGTGATTACAATGATATATAATTTATATGGTTTTGTAACAAATCGCTCGCTATTTTGTGGCAAATGCTGAAGCTCTGCAAACCTTAATCAAGCCCTAATCAAAGCACGTGTGTTTGGAATTTTGGGTGTGGCTTAACATGACAGGATCGCGCTAAGCCTAAGCATATTTCTAAAATATAATATATATTTCCTTCGGCCACACACCCGCTCTACCCGACCCTTGAGAGCCACCCAAACCAAATTAATATTTTTTTAAGGTTATTCGGCCTAAATCTCAGACAAAATAATTAGTTATTGAACCCTGAACATAAATTCATATTTTCTAATCACTTTCAAAGTCAATCAAAATCAGAATAATATATTTTCAAACAGATATTTTTATATTCTACGAATTTTGATAGCTTGTGTGTGTTATTTTTACGCATGTTGTACTTGTAATAATTCAAATAGCCTTCTGCCTAAATCTCCTGATAAACATGCTCGTGGTAGACTGAGCCTTAGGCGAAAAACCTTGAATTTTGGTATTAATTATCGAAAAATGTGACGAAACATCGATAATCTTAGCCTGTCTACGAGAAAGCTCTTAATTGGCTTGATTTTGTATGAATTAACTAAATGACGATGATTTGTACAATATGCGTATTCTAGGAATTTCAATATAGGTGATCATTATTACATTAACTTTTTGGTGATGACGTATTTGTATGTTATGAATGATGACACATGTATTTTCCCTTAATGGGAACAGCTATAGATTATTAGGGTATACTAGATTAACTAGTTGATAGCAAAAGTTGCAAAAGGGGTCACAATAAGAATGACCACAAAACAGTGGGTACAATTTTTTTTCTCATTTGTAGCATTCGAGGAATTTATTTTGGAAAAAGCATTTTTTACGAATAATTTGATACCACACACTTGGTATTTCGAGTCAAATTGTCGTTATGAACCGCATGTTACAAATTCAAATAAATCATATGAGAAAATGTCAAAAGTTGACATATAACATGTCATTCTACTCAGAGTGTTATTTTCTATCGAATAAAGTAAAAAAATACCGAATGTATAATTTAAAAATTAAAAGTTGTAGTAATTTTCGGTGAAACAGGATGTGATCAAAAACAATTGAATACGTCAATCAATTCTAATTTATGTCATACACTAACATACCAACTCTCGTTTTTTATTTGAAAAACTAAAAAAGTTTTAGGGGAGAGCCACTTTTGAGACGCACCCGGTATATTATTAGGGTTTATTAGATTAACTAGTTGATTGCAAAAGCTGGAAAAAGGAGTCACAAGAATGGCCAAATACAGTGGGTACAATTTTTTTTCTCATTCTGGTTTACAATTCATTTCGTATATCCAAGATGACTTCTATCATTAGACTCTCCCATTACGCACTGAAAAAGGGTTTCTATACCTAGTTTAAGCCCTACTGGCAAAATATATTATTTAAAGTAATTTATTTTAATAGAAATTCAAGTTTTGTTCTTAACTAGCTTGAGAGGCATGTCTAAGTTTGATAATTATTACTTTTTGTCATGGCAACTACGATTCTGAAGCACCCTGTATACTCAAAAATAATTTAAAGTGTGTATCTTAACCTTTTCTAAAAGATTTATCTATTTAATGTTTTTTCAGAGTTCTAAAATAAAATAATGAACTTTATCATTGACTCACCCTGTAAAAATACTCTGTATGTCTGCTACATTGTATTAAGCAAATAAAACAAAGAATTAAAAAAAATAAAGAAAATAACTTTAGTAAGTCGCCAAAAATGAAATATTTTGATAAGGTTTGCTGTCCATACGATTGTTGATGTCTCCTAGGTATAGCATTAAATTTCAAGTACAGGGTGAGTCAACGATAGAGTAAAGTCCATTATTTCATTTGTTTCGAGGTTTACAAAAAAATATTAAATATAAAAGTTATAGAGATGGTTAAGATACACATTTTAAAATTATTATACAGTATACACGGTGCTTCAAAAAAGTGTAGCGAATATAACATATGTGTTTTTTAAATGCAACACCCTATTTTTTATTTTATTTTTAGATTCTGCGTAAAATTCCATAACTTTTTTATATATAATGTTATATACCTAAAATTAAAATTAATAGTTTTTGTTATATTTAAATTTGTTTAAACAAATGTTAGATTGCAGTGGGTTAAAAAATTGTCAATGATAGCATTGATTCTGAAGTTGGACAACTAAAATTTGGTAGGAGAATTTTATAGAGATATAGAAAAAGACCTATGTAAAGATATTTTAGTTAGATGTTACAGGGTGTTCAAAATATATTTAGGAATTTGAACTACTTAAAATTAAGGAATTTCAAATTTTTTAAATGGTACATCCTATATATTATCATTTTTTCTGATAGATTTTACCAAACTCTTCAACTTTTATTAAGAATGTCATATACCTATTTTTATTAGTTTGCGATTTATTCCAATTTTTTCTATTTTTACCCATATTTTTAATACAATTGCGCTATAACATCATAGTTACCATGACAAAAAGTAATAATTATCACAATTTCATGTCTGTTAAGCAAGTTAAGAACTAAATTTGAATTTTAGTTTAATTTGTTGTAATAAGTATAAATGGTAAAGATAATAGTTACAGATTTTCTTGAAATGAATTAGTCAATGTGATTGATATACATGGACAAGCTTAGAAAACCACATTTTTTAGATCAGTACTATATATATTATATATGTAGTACCTACTTTGCTAACTACTATAAGGATCTGGTATATTATCTAGAAAACATCTTCAGTGTGTTAATGGGACGGTTTTGCGGCAGTAGTAATATTGGCTTTACCAAATGAATTATAAACCAGAATTACTACAAAAAAAAAACTTTACTGTATGTCGAAGAAAATTCCTATATCAGTAGCCTTCAGCAATTAGGTAATAGGTAATCTAGTATTACCCTAATCTGTGGCTATTCGCCCCGACGAAAAATCCCAAGTGCCATCTTTCATAATATAGAAATACACCAAGAAATTCACTACTGCGATTTAGTTTATTTGAGTAAAGTTAATTAATTTCAACTAATACCAGCAATTGTAACTAATTATGAAGCTACTTGTTAAAGGTAAGTAATAAATAGTTTTGTTTTGTCATGGTAACTATGATTTGATAGGGTAATTGTATTAAAAATATCGGTAAAAATAGAAAAAATGGGAATAAATCGCAAACTATTAAAAATATGGATATGACATACTTAATAAAAGTTGAAGAGTTTTGTCAAATCTATCAGAAAAAATGATAATATATAGGGTGTCCCATTTAAAAAATTTGAGATTTTTAATTTAAGTAGTTGAAATTCACAAATATATTTTTGAACACCCTGTATCATTTAACTAAAAATATCTTTACATGTATCTTTTTTTTCATCTCTATAAACTCTCCTATCAAATTTTGGTACTCCAACTTCAGAAACAATGGCACTACTGACAATTTTTACCACTCTGCAATTTAACATTTGTTTAAATAAATTGAAATATTACAAAACTATTAATTTTAGGTATATATAACATTATATACAAAAAAAGTTATGGAATTTTACGCACAATCTAAAAATAAAATAAAAAGTAGGGTGTTGCCTTTAAAAACATATGTTATAGCCGCCACACTTTTTGAAGCACCTTGTATACTCTATAATAATTTTAAAATGTGTATCTTAACCATCCCTATAACTTTTATATTAAACATTTTTTTTGTAAACCTTTGAAACAAATGAGATAATGGACTTACTTTGTCGAATTTTTATTGATGAGGCGCGTCGTCTAATTTTTTATGAAAAACATCGAGAGAATATCGTTGCCCCTCTCACGGATACCCCGTAGCTACAGAACGGACAGACGTACTGTATTTGTTGTATTTTAATATTATAAAGAACTTAACACTAGATAGGTAATGAAAGATTCTTAACATTTATATTCAAAAATATGCACTTTTTTCTCTATAAATAAACTTTACTATTTTGTTCCATAGTATGATCCCTGGATATTCTTGATAAGAGCAAAAACTTTTTTATTATTGACGTTTGGAGAAAAATGCTTTATTTATAAAAGTTTTTGCTTGTTTTAAAATAGTTAACTCCGTTTATACTTTTCCGAATTTCCATACCGTTTTAGAGAAAAACAAAAGAATATGGTTGAATTTTTTCCGCAAAAAAAAAGAAAGTTATCAAAATAAAAAAGGGTCTCTATGGTAATATCACTTATAAGGTACGTTCAGGCTGAGAGCGTCGAGCGTCGCGTCGCGTTTGCGTCGCGTCCGCGTG